TTGCGCAACTCCATCACCTCTGTCACCCGAGAGTCTACGTTCTCCTTTTTTGCTTTGAGTCGTTTGAGTTCCCCGATGACAGCCTCGAATTGCTGATCCAGACAATAGGAGGCCAGATTTGCTTCTACCTGCAGGGAGCTTAGGGAATCTGCTCTTTTGCTCACACTCTTCCCACCCAAGTTATAGTTTTCGATGACTTCGTTCAACATCCACAGTCCATGCGCCAGTCTGGCCTGTTGAGCATCTCGTTCAAGGTACCGAAAAAGGACAGACCCGATGGACAAGTAGACAACAATTGCAAACAGCAGTCCGAGCAGGGAGCAGGTTACTGCCGCACACTTGCGTACACACTTGTATTGCATCTGGGCAGGGGGAAGCTGGGGATTTCTAGTTGTCTTCTTCATGCGCCCACAACAACAACCGCAGCAATTGTGTTCGGGTTCATCGGGTGGTGGTTTCGAGGCCAGTTCCTCCATGGAGACTATGGTCTCCATTTTTCGCTGGTCAGGTTCTTCAACATCGAGAAAGTTTGTCATCGAGGGGTTCTATTGGCAAGTTTTGAGTCAAAAAAACCTAGAAGTTTGGACAGCGGAGGGGTTAGGCGTGGAGTGCAAGTCTTGATGTTTAACCATTCAAGGGTGCTTTATTTGTACCAGCGATCATCCGCGGGCTACGATGATTCGTCAAGCAGTAAGGACCAATGGCAATAAAGAAATCCGTATTGTGAACTTCATAACGTCTATCTGCGGGCAAACGAATAATATTTCCTTGTAACTCTGCGAGCATATCCCATAAACAGCCCTTCAGCAGCCGTGGCACTGTTTAGAAAAACTCGTTAATTCAGTAATTTTAGTCTTAAGCGTCCTTCAACTCCTTTTTATAGTTCCGTTGTAAAACAGTTTGTGAAATTCTTTTGTAAAAAGTTTTAAATAAAAAAGCGATGTTTAAGCTCATTATGCTCTCAGGTATATTCAAAGAAATAATTGGTAGAGTAAGGTTAAACTGAGGATATTATGTCATGCGGAGGATAAATACTTACCAGATGATTATATCTCACATTACAAAAATAAGGCAGAACTATTTGTCTACCTGAGGGCATACAATTTGACAAATAAATGACCGCATCATAGCTCCTACTAACAAATTGGAAACGTTTTGGAAAACAATACAGATCTCCAGTCTGTCTT